ATGGGCTTTGGATCTCCACTCCACACTCCCCCCATCATTCACTACGGTAAGATTTTTTGTTCTGATGATGCCTTACACCTGATCCCTTCGACACCGCGTGGTTGCATAGGCTGGTGTGCTTCTTCCATGTGGGCTTTGCTGCTTCTGAGCTTGATGGCCGCTTGATTACCTTCAAGGCTGCTTTCACTTATCATCAGCAAACTCATACTGGAGAGAAACCCCATGTATGTGGTGAGTGTGGAAAAGGCTTCATTCGGAAAGCACACCTCAAAGTTCATCTATGGACTCATACAGGAGAAAATCCCTGTATGCCATGACTGTGGTAAAGCTTTCAGCCAGAAGCAACGCCTTATAGCACATCAGAGATTTCACACAGGAGAGAAAGCCCATGTACGTGGTAAATGTGGAAAAGCCTTTATTTGGAAGACTGAGTTCACTGATCATCAGCGAACACATACTGGAGAGAAACCCCATGTATGTGGAGAATGTGGAAAAGCCTTCACTCAGAAAGCACCTCTCAAAAGTCACCTACGAATTCATACAGGAGAAAAACCCTATGTATGTCGTGAGTGTGGTAAAGCTTTCAGCCAAAAGCAATGCCTTATAGCTCATCAGGCATTTCACACAGAAGAAAAACCCCATGTATGTGATGACTGTGGTAAAGCCTATATCTGGAAGTGTGATCTCACTGTTCATCAGCGAACTCATACTGGAGAGAAACCCTATGTATGTGGTGAATGTGGAAAAGCTTTTATCAGGAAGACTGCTCTCACTGTTCATCAGCGAACTCATACTGGAGAGAAACCCTATGGATGTGGTGAATGTGGAAAAGCCTTTATCAGGAAGACTTCTCTCACTGTTCATCAGCGAACGCATGCTGGAGAGAAACCCCATGTATGTGGTGAATGTGGCAAAGGCTTCACTCAGAAAATACATCTCAAAACTCATCTACAAATTCATACCTGAGAAAAACCCTTATATATGTGGTGTGGGTGGGAAAGTTTTATCCAGAAGAATTTCCTTATAGCACATCAGAGATTTCACACATTAAACCAGTCCTTTGCATGAATTAAATGTGGAATATCTTATATGTAGAAGTCAAGTCTTATTAAACATGAGAAAATTCCCAACGAGAAAGCTTTTCATTAGGGTTACTGTAACAAGTTTTCAAAACAAAGGAAGAGGTGCTAGAGTTTGGCCTGGACCAAGCGTGGGAACAGACGATTGTGACTTACATGCAAATACCCATTCTCTGAATTGCTGTCCCTCCACTGACATGGCCCATCGGTGTGGGGACAGGGCCTTCCAGACCTCCACATGGCACAAGGGCACCTCATTGCTCTTCCAGCTATCAGTGCCTGAAAGAGCTGAACCTGTTTTTTCTGGATCACAGCTATACCAAACAGTAGATTGCCCACTCAGATGCCAGTAGTGCCCACCCCATCTGCATGCTCATCGTTACCCCCAGAAACAGCACCAAAGTACTGTGAAATAAGATGATAGAAGATGTATAGGAACAGTTAATCCAGAGGACCATTGTCTCACAGCAAACCTCAGCCTCCACAACCCTGAGACAAGAACTAGAGGGTGCCCAGCTTCAACTGCTAATTAGTCAGAAAGGGATCACAAAAGAGAAGCATGAGTTGAGTGGGAGAACAAAGTGGAACAAAACCCCAAAACATAAAATAGACCAGGCTAACTGGTCTGATGGAGACTTGGAATCTTAGTGACTATGGCCCTTAGTGACTCTTCACTCCAGGAAATGTACTCACTCCTCTGACTCATCTTTCAGCTAAACAATATACAGGCTTGGAGGGGAAGAGGAACATCTGAGAAGTAGACAGTCCTTAGAACAATCAACTGTATCAAATCAAAAGGATAGCATTTGCTTATGGATAAAAACTCTTAAAAGCAAGAAGGAACAGGAAAGAAGGTTGAATAATGATGGTAAAACACAGAGAGGGTGGAAGTGGGAAGAGTGTAGTGCATCTTAGGGGCTACACTCAAGATATGAATTGTTGAATGGGAAACCAATTTACTGTGTTTAAGTTTTAAATCATATATTTTTAAAAGAGCTCATGTCACATCAATGATTTCATGTAGGATCGTTACCATGTAGCTGTCATGAGTGTGGATAAAGATTTACCTGTGTTTCTAAGTTTTCTTGATAAAAACACAAAATTGGAAAAGCTTTAAATTCAGTAAAGATGGGAAAGCTCTGCACAGGGAGTCGTGTGTCATCACATACCACTGATCTCATGCAGGAGGAAAGCTCTGGCAATGTAGTGACTTGGCAAATACCTTCTTTGGCTTATCTCATGTGTCAGTAAACTACATTAGGATTCTAACTAATGTAGGTCTGGTTGGCTGGCTGACAGCCAACAATAGGGGATTTGTACAGCAGAGACCATATGAATACAGGGCATGTGGCAGGGCATATGCATTTAGTGACTGGCAGTGCCTCCCGTATCCAATTACATTTTCTTTTATGTTTCAGAAAGCACATAGGATAAACTGTGATGCAGTAATTGGACAGGAGGGTTGAACACAATGTCTGCCACATTGTATGACTTCAATGTAAGTCATGCAAGAAATCACATGAATACAAAGCCTGATAGACTCATCCTGTGTGCATATGTACATTGATATCAAGACCGATATCTTTTGTTTTTTTCTCACAATTAAAAAAAAATCCTTTTATTGGGGGCTGAGTTAGTTAATTGTGCCAGCCTGGCCGATAATCACATGTGGGGCTAATTGAAAGGTGGAAGGATAAATGGGTGGTGACGCCTCGCCTTTCTAGTTCTCTGGTCTCTGGTTTTGTGATGGTTGCACCGGGTGCAGCTGCCTTAGCAGTTCCCTGCTTCAGCTTGCAAGATTGACTTCCTACAAGACATCCCCAAGGAGAAGCTACATGGACCTATCCCGA